CCAAAAGTAAGAATAAACTATGAATTCAAGTGAAATTCAGTCATCTTCTAAAAAGTGAGTCATCCTACTTGTAAAATCACTTGCTATGAAAACTAATAAAATGTTTATCACGACATTCTTGCAAAACTTTAAAAAACATTATTGAAAGAAAAATTGGACGTTCATTTTAAGCATTAGGCGACTAATCGCACATTTATTAATAAACCATTTAGATCATTATAATGACTTGAATTGCCTACAAAGTCGTCTAAGCGCACAAGCACACGCATAAAGCTTGCCACAGCGCACCGGCTATGATTATGAATGTGTCGGGGAAAAACAAAAAGGAGGCTGCATTAACATTTTAATAATTCACTGATAAACAAGTGCTTTCTTTGTTTTGGTTTAAGAGATGAACTTGGCGAGTTTTAAAATAGAGGAGGCACACTAATTGTATTGATCTGGGATCCCTGCATGCCGATTATTATTATTATTTGCTTAACCACTTTAAAATGTTTTTTTGGTTGCTTTTATCAGAAAACGTAAAGAAAACAACATACATACAGCAAGATAATATCACTTCACTTACCTTGCCTATCACTTGAAGCAAACATCCATCCCTTCTTAAAAGTCTGTGTTAAAAGAGAGCTGGCTGTTGCGCCATTTAATTAAGCCGACTGCTGTAGCCTATATCCAGTTTAGGCTGTTTTCCCTAAATTTGTATATATACTGTTTGAATGACAGCTTGGTAAATCTGATGGCGATCAAATATTCAATATCGCTACTCATCATAAGTACTTGGTACATTATCAGCGCAGCGGGAGACGTTCAAACTATTATCACGTAATTTACGTCTCTGTGATGATTGGTTGATATCAGAAGGGAGGCTAGCCACCCTTGCGAGGGTTCTTTTCGCAACACTCCTCAGTGCTGAAAGTGAACACTCTATGCTGATTGGTTCATTTTTGTTACCAACGGAGGCACGAGAGCTCACCTCTCCCTCGGCCTACCCCTACCCTTATCTATCATTAGTGGTTGCAATTACATCAGCAGATTCGGCACATTCGTGATAGAAAAGCGGGACTTTCACGTTATTTTATTACAACTGTGAAATTACAAACAAAAAATACACATTCTGAGTCATGAACCGAAATTAATTGTGAATTTTATTAACATTAAATCTTCCTCCTTCCATTTTCACCTCAAAATTATGGGGAAGCTGTGCCTCCCCTGCCTCCCCCGACGAGCCGCCACTGTCGGCGACACCAACTCGTCATCTCCGCAGTAGTGAAGCGCCTGTGTGTATGTTTCACACGGATTACATAATCTGAGAATATGTCACTGTCCTGCAGTGAGCGCTAATGTTCAGCTTCCACACAGACACTTGAATATAGCACACATTTCTCTGGGTTAACATTAGATTGAGTGGCCATGTAAAGTTCCTAATACTTGCATTTCAGATGATAAGCCATATTTGTGGTGGATGATTGATAGGTGAGCGTTTGGATGTCCTGCCGGATGTACTGTATTACCATAGATCAGCCGTTAACGATCTGCGTGACTTTGCCAATGTGGATTTTTTTTCTGTGACTAAGCGACTAAAAGATTTTGGTCGACCAAGCCTCTTCTGGTCGACTAATGATTAGTCGACTATTAGGGGCCAGCCCTAATATATAGTGTATTTTATACAAGTATAACTGATGTAAATGACAAAAACTAAGTTTAAGGCTAAATTAAGACTTCGCAAGTCCTCTTGTAAAATAAAATAAAAAAACAACAACATGGAATAAACTGTGTACAGAAAGCGAGTAAAGAACTCTCAACATTAGGCTACTAAAAAGGTCAGTTTAATCTCACAAAAACTCCCGTTAATAAAAAATCGGACTACACTGCATTAATCTCTAACACTGCATCTTTATTATTTATGATGAATTCGGTGATTGCACGAACACCACTTTTATTATTATTGCAGCTTAGATAGCAGCAGTACTCCGACTTTGCCACAAGGAAAAGTGTGTACGTCTGCTCAGACCCTGACGTGGTGGTAAGTACTTTTCCACGTCAAAGAGCGTTTTTATAAATATGAACGTTGCCATGGATTTTAGCGTATGCACACTCTAAGATCAAATCTGTACGTACGCACATTTTATAAATGAGGCCCCAGATTCGAACCCATGACCTGAAAGATCCAGGCCAGTGGCTTAGCAGAGTGCACCACTCAGTAGACTCACTTTCTACAGGCTGCTGAGGAAAGGTTTAGGTGTGAGAATGAGCTCCCTAATTAACTTCTTTAGCATTTTAACCAGAGTAACATGCGAAGTTAAGTTAATGGTAACACAGTTTATGGTTAACTTGATAGCTAAAGAGTCAAATTAAACAACTTGGTAACTGGTTAGCCCATAACTTATTAGCAGGCTAAGCTTAATAGCAGAAGACAAGAAACACAGGCATGGTCAACTTCCAAGAAATATTTCTTGGGAACAGTAGCAAATATAAAAAAATCTGTTTAGTAATTTTTATGCGGCTCAGTCCAAAGATCATACGATCAGATTTTGGACAAAATTGGCCAAAATTTGTAGGAGGAGTAGCAAAAAAACTCATTTAATTCAATATGGTTGACAGGCACATTCATGGAAAATGACAAATGAGACATAGTCAGAATCAGCATAACCCGGGGAATTAAATTATCATAATTTGGACAATGTAGCAAGTTTTGTTTCGATTGATCAAAGTTTGGCTGAGATTAAACCTCTGAACCAATTTTGGGTCAACCTCGTTAAATTCACGACATCATAACTTTTGAACAAAGATGAATAAAAAAAAGATCTGTTTGGTCAGTTCTGTGCGGCTCAGCCCAAAGATCATCTGAGCCAATTTTGGGAGGAGTAGCGAAAAGACAGAATACTATACTTTTGTACTGTACTGTAAGCTATTGAATGTGATCAGCATGAAGGGAGTAATCAGGTGTACTAAGTTTCATTTTTCTAGAATTAGGGGCTCAGGAGTTATTACCATTTTAATGTTGAATTTTTGAAATAGTGGTGGTGTTATAGAGTTAGTCCTAGAGACCCCAAAGTTGGTCAGAACAGTTTTCATGGTCATCACTACAAGCGTGCCAATTTTCATAATTTTCCTATATTCCCTTCATAGGGCTGCCATAGACTCCCATTGGGGAAAAATAATAATAAAGAAAACATACAGATACAATAGGGGCTACAGCCCTTGGGGCTTGGCCCCTAACTATAATTTAGATTTACAAAAGATGTCTATTACAAATAAGTGTTGTTCTTTTGAACTTTCACTCCATCAAAGAATCTTAAAAAAGAGAGGAAAAATCTAGAAAATCAAGTTCCCTTTCAGTCGGTCACATTCGACATTACGTCTGAACAGACTGACGAATGGGGTCTCACCCGATCTTGGATGGTTCATGTTCTCAATGTGGGGACATGACCATCTCGGCATTAAGATCGAGACTCAATTACCTTAAACGGTATAGAGTCCCCTCTGCCACACCCCAATCTAGTTCCTCTTCCCATAAGAGGGCTACTTTGGCTGGTGGCCAGGGTGATCTGAGGGTTGCGGTGTGGGCTTCCCCGATGAGACAGCCTTCTCAAGCCACACCCCCCTCACAAACACTGCAGCCTGTGCAGCCTCCGGTTAAGCTTGCTTGGCCCTCTCACCAGGATCCCAGCATCTCATTTGGGGCTCAGGAGGATGACCAAATGTGGATCGCCGCATCACAAAGCGGGCTCGAGTCCTCGGGAGATGAGGATTCGACTGCGTTGCCTCCCTCTGGGACGCCAGCGTTGCCCGAGTCTGATCCCGAGCTGATGGCCACTCTTTCCCGGGCAGCTGAGAACATCGGGCTCGAGTGGAATCCTCCACCCTGTCCTGAACGTTCGAGGCTGGACGATTGGTTCCTGGGGGCTGCACGCGCTGATCGTCAGCGCCCCCCCACCGGTTCCTTTCTTCCTGGAGGTGCATCAGGAAGTTACCAGTTCGTGGAAGGCACCTTTAACTGGCTGAAACCGTTCTGGTGCTACCTCTGCCTTCACTGCCCTCGATGGTGGGGTAGCCAAAGTGTATGCGGGGATACCCCCAGTGGAGCACAAGGTTGCGATGCAATTGTGTCCTCAGTGCGCCTTCACCTGGCGTGGTGGTCCCAAGCTCCCGTCCAAAGTCTGTAAGTTGTCATCCACGCAGTTTGAGGCCGTAAAACATATTCTGTCCAAGCGGCCCGCTGCTGCATCCACACTGCTACCATCTCAGCCACCTCAGCCTGCTCGTCGCCGAGGGCGCCCCCCCCTGCAGTCTTCTCCACTCCCGCTCGGTCACAGCAGCAGCCTCCACCCCGGCAGCAGCGAGGAGATGGCCGCAGAAGGGTGGCGCAGCCCGTCTCTGCCCCTAAACCTGCCAAGCTTCCAGCCAAGCAGCATTCCTGAGACGGGCGACCCGGAGATGGTAGCAGGACCACTCCTTCCCCGGAGGAGGGCCGGGGGAGAATCCTTTGTTTTCGTTCTCTTTTTGTTCAGCCACTGGCCCCACGACCAGCTTCCTTTGCCAGTTTCCAGGCAGAGCTGGCTCGAGAACGCATTGCCTTCTCACAACCCTTTTTCCATGTCTCGGACTCAGACGAGTGCTCGCACTCTGCCCTCGCTAAGGGACACTACACCTCCCATGTCGGGGGCCGTCTGTTCCGCCTCGCTGCCCTACTGTAGTTCCATTGACCCCGCTGGCTCGGTTTCTGGGAGCCTGGCTACAGTTCTTCAGTCCATCCCGCTGGCTCATCTGAACGATCATGCTCGGCTACGCGATTCAATTCACCCAGCGTCCCCCCAGGTTTCGGGGTATTCGCGCTATGATGGTGGGCAAGGGTGCTCCTATCATGCTCACGGAGGTCGTGACCAATGTTGGGCAAGTTACTTCCAAAATGTAATACATTATATATTACTAATTACTGTCTTTTGAAAGTAATTACTGACATTACAATATTACTGTCTCTGAATTGTAATGCATTACACTACTTTTGAGTTACTTTTACCAAAATGTCCACATAAGTATTCCAAAATGCCAAAATGTAGTTTATTGCTGCTTATTCTACATCCAGTGGAGGGTAATGTGGTAGGTCTATACAGCATAAAATTATAAAATCATATTTAGATACCAGTATAGGTCTACATTAATGTTACGTTGTAGCCTAGTTTAGGTTAAACACAGATAAGCACAAACCGCATTATTACATTCATAAATAACACCGGTAAATAAAGCGAAATGTTATAATATACAAACAATAAACACAATACCTAGCCTATAGGCTATTTTGAACATTAGTTCAATGCAAAACTGAAAGCAAATGGCATTCTCGTGCAGCCTACCTCTCTCAATCCCCTTACGAAAAATAAGTTTATTCAAGTGTGCTATTAGTATACTTCTTTTAAACAAAAAAAATAGGAAAGTATACTTTTAGTCTACTTTTTCTGTACTTCGCAGAAATGGGCTTTATGTTCTTCTCAGAAAAATACTTAAAATTACATTTAAGTATACTTGAATTATACTTGAAAAAGTCAGCAGCATATCTCTTAATCTTTTCCTTTCGTTTTGTTAATCTGTTAATTAGGCTATTTAAGTCAAATATTTTGCATATTCATTCATTTGATAGACTATGATTTAATAAAAGCAGATTTAGTTATTTTTAGTTTAACTTATTTTTGTTGCTTGTCTGCGCTCGTCCGCCGCCTTTTTTCTCTTCTTCGACCCCGCAGCTCTCTCCGATAGCTTAGTGTTAGTGGCACCAGTCCAGGTATTTCCAGGTTTTACTCGTGCTATTTCTCCATGTTGAGAGTTTGGTGTTGCACATATTGCACCCTGACTATGCATTCTTATGCTTTTCTCTGACGAACTGAAAATAACAGGAGTGTGTCCATCTCACAAATGTAGAATCCATCTCTGCAGTCATCTCAACCATCTAATTCCAGCATCAGGAAATAGACAAACTATTTTACCCAAGGAATTTTTTCTCTGGTGCTGTTGCGGTGTTGGTAATTTCACCACTTAATTTTGAGTTAAAATGTTGTTGTAACTTGCGTTACTGAGATTGTAACGAATAATAATATTACCCAAATTGTATTAGTAATGCGTTATATTACTGCGTTACAGCAAAAAGTAATATACCAATGTAATATTATTACTTTTGTAATGCATTACTCCCAACACTGCGATAGAGCCGATCCCTCCAGCCGACATGAAGTCCGGCTTCTACAGCCCCTACTTCATAGTACCCAAAAAAACAGGTGGGTTACGGCCAATCCTAGACTTGCGTGCCTTGAACCGAGCTCTTCACAGACTTCCGTTCAAGATGTTAACGCCCAAACGCATTTTTGAATGCATTCGTCCCATGGATTGGTTTGCAGCGATCGACCTGAAGGACGTGTACTTTCATGTCTCCATTCTTCCTCAACACAGACCATTTCTTCAGTTTGCTTTCGAGGGGCAGGAATATCAGTACAAAGTTCTACCATTCGGGTTGGCCCTGTCTCCCCGCGTCTTTACTAAGGTCGTAGAGGGAGCTCTGGTCCGTATCCTCAACTACCTTGATGACTGGTACTCACTCTCGTGTACAGTTGTGCAAGCACAGGGATCTGGTACTCAGACACCTCACCCGTCTGGGTCTTCGGGTTAACTGGCATCCGCAGCGGCGGTCATACCGCTCGGGTTGCTTCGTATGAGACCGCTTCAGCACTGACTTCACGGCCGAGTCCCAAGATGGGCATGGCAACAGGGCACGCTCCGAGTGACCATCACCCCGGCCTGCCGCCGAACCTTCACCCCATGGTTGGACTTCTCGTTTCTACGGGCTAGTGTTCTCCTAGAACCGGTGTCCAGGCATGTTGTTGTGTCAACAGATGCCTCTGCCACGGGCTGGTGTGCCATGTGCAACGGACATGCTGCGTCAGGCTCCTGGAGGGGACCCCGACTTCAGTGGCATGTCAATTGCCTCGACTTGCTAGCAGTAGAGCTTGCTCTGCACCGCTTCAAGGCCCTGCTGAAGGACAAGCACATTCTGGTCCGTGCGGACAACACTGCGACCGTAGCGTACATCAACCATCAGGGCGGTCTACGCTCCCGTCGCATGTTGCAACTCGCTCCCCATCTCCTTTTGTGGAGTCAGAAGCATCTGAGGTTGCTTCGTGCCGTTCACATCCCGGGCAGGCTCAATTGTGCAGCCGACAAGCTCTCACAGCAGCAGTCTCGCCCCGGGGAATGGAGACTCCATCCCCAGTCGGTTCAATTGATTTGAGAATGCTTTGGAGATGCTCAGGTAGACTTGTTTGCCTCTCCAGACAATTCCCACTGCCAGTTGTTTTACTCCCTGACCGAGGGCACCCTTGGCATGGACGCTCTGGCACACAGCTGGCCGCAGCGCTTGCGCAAGTATGCGTTTCCCCCAGTGAGCCTTCTTGCACAGACTTTGTGAAAGATCAGGGAGGATGAGGAGCAGGTCCTCATGGTTGCGCCTTATTGGCCCAGCCAGACCTGGTTCTCCGAACTTGTAGTCCTCACGACAGCCCCTCTCTGGCCAGTCCCTCTGAGGAAGCACGGGGCACCCTCTGGCACCCGCATCCTGATCTTTGGAACCTGCATGTATGGGTTCTGGACGGCCGATCCCTCCAGCCGACATGAAGTCCGGCTTCTACAGCCCCTACTTCATAGTACCCAAAAAAACAGGTGGGTTACGGCCAATCCTAGACTTGCGTGCCTTGAACCGAGCTCTTCACAGACTTCCGTTCAAGATGTTAACGCCCAAACGCATTTTTGAATGCATTCGTCCCATGGATTGGTTTGCAGCGATCGACCTGAAGGACGTGTACTTTCATGTCTCCATTCTTCCTCAACACAGACCATTTCTTCAGTTTGCTTTCGAGGGGCAGGAATATCAGTACAAAGTTCTACCATTCGGGTTGGCCCTGTCTCCCCGCGTCTTTACTAAGGTCGTAGAGGGAGCTCTGGTCCGTATCCTCAACTACCTTGATGACTGGTACTCACTCTCGTGTACAGTTGTGCAAGCACAGGGATCTGGTACTCAGACACCTCACCCGTCTGGGTCTTCGGGTTAACTGGCATCCGCAGCGGCGGTCATACCGCTCGGGTTGCTTCGTATGAGACCGCTTCAGCACTGACTTCACGGCCGAGTCCCAAGATGGGCATGGCAACAGGGCACGCTCCGAGTGACCATCACCCCGGCCTGCCGCCGAACCTTCACCCCATGGTTGGACTTCTCGTTTCTACGGGCTAGTGTTCTCCTAGAACCGGTGTCCAGGCATGTTGTTGTGTCAACAGATGCCTCTGCCACGGGCTGGTGTGCCATGTGCAACGGACATGCTGCGTCAGGCTCCTGGAGGGGACCCCGACTTCAGTGGCATGTCAATTGCCTCGACTTGCTAGCAGTAGAGCTTGCTCTGCACCGCTTCAAGGCCCTGCTGAAGGACAAGCACATTCTGGTCCGTGCGGACAACACTGCGACCGTAGCGTACATCAACCATCAGGGCGGTCTACGCTCCCGTCGCATGTTGCAACTCGCTCCCCATCTCCTTTTGTGGAGTCAGAAGCATCTGAGGTTGCTTCGTGCCGTTCACATCCCGGGCAGGCTCAATTGTGCAGCCGACAAGCTCTCACAGCAGCAGTCTCGCCCCGGGGAATGGAGACTCCATCCCCAGTTGGTTCAATTGATTTGAGAATGCTTTGGAGATGCTCAGGTAGACTTGTTTGCCTCTCCAGACAATTCCCACTGCCAGTTGTTTTACTCCCTGACCGAGGGCACCCTTGGCATGGACGCTCTGGCACACAGCTGGCCGCAGCGCTTGCGCAAGTATGCGTTTCCCCCAGTGAGCCTTCTTGCACAGACTTTGTGAAAGATCAGGGAGGATGAGGAGCAGGTCCTCATGGTTGCGCCTTATTGGCCCAGCCAGACCTGGTTCTCCGAACTTGTAGTCCTCACGACAGCCCCTCTCTGGCCAGTCCCTCTGAGGAAGCACGGGGCACCCTCTGGCACCCGCATCCTGATCTTTGGAACCTGCATGTATGGGTTCTGGACGGGTCATGGAAGGTTTAGGTACCTTGCCACCTCAGGTGGTAGCTACTATCATTTCGGCTAGTGCCTCGTCTACCAGACACGCCTATGCTCTGAAGTGGAACCTCTTCGTCAGTTTGTGTTCTTCACGTCGAGAAGACCACTGGAAATGCCCGATCGGGTCAGTGCTTTCCTTTCTTCAGGAAGGGTTGGAACGAAGGCTGTCTCCTTCCACCCTGAAGGTCTAAGTGGCTGCCATTGCGGCTCACCAAGATCCTGTTGACGGTAAGTCCCTTGAGAAACATGACCTGATCATCAGGTTCCTGAGAGGGGCCATGAGGCTCAATCTGCCTCGCCCTCAACAAGTTCCCTCTTGGGTTGTGGATAAAACACAGTTGTTTTATCCACACTGCAGAGAGCTCTTTTCGAACCCCTGCTTTCAGTATAGGTAAAGTTCTTATCATTGAAAACTGCGCTCCTGATGGCTTTGGCTTCAGTTAAGAGGGTCGGGGACTTGCAGGCATTTTCAGTTGACGAAGCGTGCCTGGAATTCGGGCCGACCAACTCTCACGTTATCTTGAGACCCCGGCCTGGATACGTACCCAAAGTTCCCACCACTCCTTTTAGAGATCAGGTGGTGAACTTGCAAGAGCTGTCCCCGGAGGAGGCAGACCCAGCCCTGGCGCTGCTCTGTCCGGTACGTGTGCTCCGCACTTACATAGACAGAACTCAGTGCTTCAGGACCTCAGACCAGCTCTTTGTCTGTTACGGAGGCCAGCAGAAGGGAAAGGATGTCTCCAAGCAGAGGCTATCCCACTGGATAGTGGATGCTATTGTCTTGGCTTATCAGGCTCAAGACCTGCCATGTCCCCTAGGGGTGAGAGCTTACTCAACTAGGAGTGTGGCTTCCTCCTGGGCGCTAGCACATGGCGCCTCGCTAACAGACATCTGTAGAGCTGCGGGCTGGGCGACACCTAACACATTTGCAAGATTCTATAATCTCCATGTAGAGCCCATGTCCTCCCATATACTTGCCCCTTCGGGCCAGTAAACAGGACCTGCTTGGTGTCAATTCGCTTGCTGCGCCATTCCACTCCACGGACTGGATGTGTGCGCTGTTCTCCTCAGGTGAGAGCCACAGTTCAGAACCCTGTGTTCCTCCAGCACTGTTATGTCGAGCACTTGCGTGCATGCCCTGTCTGTCAGCCCGTGTGTTAGACTAGGTGCCTCCATGTGTTGTGGTTCCCCTCTTGGGCAATCCCACGTGTGTATTTCCACAGTAAGTCTCTCTCGGCAGCATGTGTCTTTCCCTTGGCAAGCCATCCTTGCCATCTCTGACGTTGAAACATTGCTTTGCCACAATTGCTGTTCCGCTGAACGGCTGGGTCACATGGCTCGGCTCCTCAGCGAAGACTTGAATGCGAGTTGCTCGCACTTTATATACCCACACAGCGGGGCGGAGCTCGCGATGCAAATCCCGCAGACCAAGGTACTTAGCGTATCATTGGATCGTTCTGTTACCACTCGAAGGTTTGGGCTCTTGGGCGAGACCCCATTTGTCAGTCTGTTCTGACGTAACATCTCCGTTCCCTACTTCAGGGAACGAGGGTTACATACGTAACCTAGATATTTCTCCACAAAAATGTTAAGCTGTACAATGGTTTTCAAAATAGATAATAAGAAACGGTTCTTTGGCACCAAATCAGCTTATTCAAATAATTTCTGAGGGATCATATGAAGATTTGAGAATGGCTGCTAAAAATTCAGCTTTGGCCTCACAGTTTTTAATTTTTTATTAAATAAATGCACCCTTGAAGAACATATAAAATTCTATCAAAAACATAAAAAAATCGACCTGACTAAACTATACCCTACGGTAGAGTACAATATGTAATATGTATATATATACACTGTGTTTCCTCGAACTCGGAGTGAGTGAGAGGGGCCCTGTGGGCTAATATAGGTCAACATCTGCTGTAATAAGTGTAATCAGCAGGTTTGCAAATGTAAATTGCCATGACATTATAAATATTTAAAGATGTGATGTCAAAGACAAAAGGTAGAAGGAAATGCAGGTGAAATTAACCACAAATTCCTGATCATAGTGGAATGATACAATTTAACCCTTGTGTGTAACAGCTCAGATTGAATTGCAGCGTTTTGACATTTATGACTTCCAATATGTTAAGTCTTATGAAACCCAAAACTGATAATTTGTTTCAAACATCCTCCTTGGAAAATTTCACAACAAGAGGGCTAACAAAACATTCAGTCAATCACTAAATAACTGTAATTTTTACAAATGTTTCACAATTTGCTCATCAGCTCTCATACATAAACTATAAACATTTCTTACCCCTTCAGTTTTTTTTTCTTTGGGTGTTGATGACTCAGGCTTGTTTGTTTTATTTTATTTTATTGGAAAATAATTACAAATAAATAAATCAAAGAAAAAAAACTTTTTAATCCTACAATTTATAAGAGAGTCACGGTTTAATTATGATGAGTCTGTGTGCTGATTGGCTGCAGCAGAACTGGGTCAGGGATCAGGATGAGCAGTGGGGTTTTGCCCTAGAATAAAAATTCATAACATTCTTTTATCAGCATTCAAGATGCAAAAAAACACATGCTTTAGTCTCTCCATAGGGCAAAAAGTAATTATTCACTCGCACACGTAGCCCAGACGAGCTGCTGTAAGAATATGATAT